TCTTATATAAATATAATATATAAGATTTGCTTATAAGTGATTTTTGCTCTAAATATTATGTTTTTTCAATGAAACAAAGGAGCATAAATGACAAAACAACCAACTTCATTTTTATTTGGGTCAATATACCTTGAGAAAAGCTTTTTTTTTTGAGCGGCCCAAAATCTAAATGGGTTGTTTCAGCCCAAAAGAACCCTTTTCCGGTCTTAAAACTCCGGAAAACCTGAGTCAACAGAGAGAAGAAAGACCGTGACCTTTGAATTTAGAAGACTTGATTCAAACATGCATACATATATTCATGAAATCAGTTTATTTCTAATAGAAACGAAACATAAATCAACTTACAGTATCACCACGAGAAATCCCCATTTGGACCAAAGCAGAAGCGACTTTGAGGCATCTTTCAAGCGTTTTTCTCCAGGAGAAGCTAACTTCACCATAAACAATCGACACCTTGTCTCCATATACACGAGCGGCTCGCTCTAGGAAGATCACGGAAGTCAGACGGGCAGAATTAGCCAAGCACTGAGCACCACCCTCCATGTTTTGTGTTACGTATAGATATCCAACTCTTCTGTAGAGAATGTGTGAAGTGAAATGTTGATCCAGTATAAGGCCATTTTCTAGTTAATGGCTATCTACTCAGACCATAATATACGGACATTAATTTTAAAATGCAAAATTATGTATGCTTTCTGCTCCCTGCTGATTTGAGATAGAGACGGCACATTGGGGTATATACGACGTTCACACACAAGTCTTAGTAAATTTGTAAGGTTGTGTTTAATTGGATTGTGGAAAATGGGGTAAAATATCTTCTAAAATCTTAATTATAAATTTTTTTTGATATATCTGATAATAATGGATTATACGAAAATAAATAGTTTTTTTTTTTCTAAATTTTTCTTCATTTACTTAAGATTTGAACTTGAAATTTTTAACTATTAACCATCTCAAGATATTATTTTATATTATTAATCAAGATTCATTAAGATTATAATTTAAATAAAATTAAGAGACAAAAGGACTTTCCAACTTGTTTAGAGTAACTCAGGGACGGAGGGCATGAAGGACAAGGGCGGCAGCCGCCCACCTAAACTTTTGAAAAGCATTTAATATGGTACTCTAACTTTTATTTGTTAAAAATTTTGTTTTTATAGTATGAATTTCAAAGACTATTTCAAATGTAGAGAATATATTTAGGATTTAAATGAAATGAACTTACATCAATTTAACTAATTACAAATTGAGGTTTTTAAACATTTCCTTATTTATTAAGCTAAAAAAGAAAAAAAAAACCTTTGATTCTCTATTTAAACAACTTTAAATTTATAGTTTTTCTTTAGTATTCTTTTATTTTCTTTCTTAATTTTTTATATAAAAATTTAAAGTTTTTTAATAGTATCAAGGTACGTTTTTGCTTTTTTATGATTAAATTTATAATAATTTTTTTTTGTGTTAAACTAATTAAAGTTAAAATTTACTTTTCAACATTATAATAATTTTTGTGTATTATAATAATTTTATAAATTTAGTATTTCTTAATTTTTCAACATTATAACAATTTAAAATTTTTGTGTATTATAATAATTTTATAATATTAGTATTTATCACATAATCTCTAAAAAAATTAGGAGAAAAACACTCCAAAACCATGTTATTTCAATAAAATAAAAACACTCTCATTCCTATTTTAAGAAAATATTGTTTGTCTTTTTCAATGCAAGTTTATTAAAATAATGTAATTTTATTGTATTTTTCTTTTTAATTTTTAAAGATTCAATTAACAAACACATTTCTCTTTTTTTATTTATTCTTCAATTTATTGTTGCATGATTTATTACTATGATATTTTATTTTCTATTATAATAAATACATTTATTTCTAATTTTTATTAAAAATATATCAATAAAAAAGACCACAAGTAAATCTTTTTATAAAAAAAAGATTTAAATGAAAATAAATTAGTATCACAAAAAATACTTTTGAATACTCAAATTTTCAACACTAATTTTTGCGTCCCTAACTGAATTTCCTAACTCTGTGCCTAAGTTAATTGTTAAGGTATTAAAACAATCAATCACATTTAAAACGAGAAATGAAACGATTTTCGTTCAATCAAATGAAAGTACCGAGCGAAAATGTTCATTGTATTTGGTTATCAAGACAAAAATCTTCATCTAATTAGACAAAAATCTTTTACTTTCCTTTCTCCTCATTTTCTTCGATTAATACAAACAAACTTTAATTAGTTAGAAGGTTTGAGAGAGACTTTTTCAAAGTTACATCAACTAATTTTTGTGGTTTCAATTTTTTAAATAATAATAATAATAATGAAGAAAATTTTCAAGAAAACTTTGTTTGGTTTATCTTCTACTTCTAAAAGAGAGATGAAATTTTAGAGAGAGGAAGGGAGAATTGAAGAACGGACTGAGAAGTGCACTTTTTTTTCTTTTTTCCTTTTTTGATCAGCAACTGAGGAGTCCACGTAATGTGCGGATATTATTGTAATTTTGAAATGAGAAGTAATAGAAAGGAGGAAAATTTAAAACTAATGATGTGGTTTATATAATATTATTAAATTAAT